GGGGAGGGATGGCTAGGAGTGGGAGGGAGGCAGAAGGGGGAGTCTGTGGACAGGGCGCTGTGGCGAGGCCCAGAGGCTGGCACTGCACGGGAAGAGCAAAGTCAGGGAGGGGCTGGCACACAAGGGAGGCGGGGGGGTGGATGTGCTCTCCTCCGTCTGTCTTCCAGCCGCTTCCAAAAGACATGCACCTTCATCTGAGGGCTGAGGCCAAGGGAGCACCCTCCTGCGGGCTCCCCAGCTGTCTGCCCCGCTCCCCTGTCGGGCTCCGAGCCTGTGGACCAGATGAATGTGGCCGACCCGGCCTCTGGCCTCTCCTCTTCCCTCCACCCCCACCCCTGCAGTCTGCCACGGTTCTCCTCTTCTGTTCCACCCCCTGGCCTAGGCCCCACCCCACCACCCGAGCCTTACTCTCAGTTTTCCAGGGGCTGAACCACACCCTTCCACCTCCATCTCCTTTTTGTTCTAGTCCTAGCCCTCCTCTGAGGACTTCTCTTCCCCTCCCCCCCACTTCCCACTTGGAGCCAAGGGGCATGTGCAGGACCAGGCCTGTCTGGCTTGGAGGGTGAGGCCCGAGGCTGGAGCGTGGATCTTTCATGGGAGAGGACCCTGGGACCCCCTGGGACCGGGGAGAGCAGGGGCCTGCCCAAGATCACACAGCCAGTCGAGGCCAAGACACAGGTGCAAAGGCCCTGACCCCCAGCCCCTGCCGCCCACACTGCCCACGCCTTACCTGCGTTGGCAGGGCACAGACTCCCCTCTCGACCTCGCACCAACAGGCCTCCAGACACAAGCCCATGCACACAGCTGCACGCTTGTCCAGCATCACAATTCCTGTCACCCCAGCAACATGTTTCTGCGTGCAAACCAGTTTCACATCCTCTGTCTAGTGGAACCTTACAGAAATCTGCAAGGCTGGCAGTGACAGAACCGAGATGGTCACCTCCAGCTCACAGACCAGAAACGGGGCTCAGAGAGGCTAGATGATGGACTCCCCAGGGCCACAAAGCTGCAAGTGCTGGAGGTGGGACCAACCCGGACTCCTTGGCCGTAGGTCCGTTGCTGCCTCTTAAGCACAGGGAAAAATGCCATACAGATCTCTGCGGTGGCTAGTCACAGGTACCCAGTACACACCGCCGGATCCACAGGAACCCAGCACCCACAGCGAGGGCCTGTCTCAGGGAGTTTGCAAGCACGGGGCCTGGAGAAGGCCTCCCTGCCTAGAACCCCAACTCTGTCCCCTGCTGGTGGCAGAATCCTGTGACCAGCGGAAAAAGCCTTCAGTTCACCTAATCAGAGCACAGGCTGGGAACACAGGCCCTCACCCTGTGCAGAACCTTCTAGAAGTGAGCTTTGTTGGACGTAGGGGTCCAAGTCTGAGAGTGAAACCTCTGAGGGACCCTCTGGGAGAGGTGGTGGCCCTGGCCTCGGTGCCTCTGCCCAGCCTGCCCCTCCTCCAGATCACTCAGGACAAAGGGAAGTTGGGGTTACAAATACGCGCTTACACTGCTCTCAGGATCTCAGCCCCCTCTGCCTCTCTCCTCCTCCTCTTCCTCACACCACCCTCCCCTTTCCTCTCTCCCCTTCTTTCCAGCTAGCCTTCTGCAGGGGGAGGTGGAGACCACCCAGTAGCTGTGGACCCCCACAGCTTACTTTGCATTTCCCCATCCTCCCACCCCAACTTCCCCGAGCTGAAAGGAAAATAAAATACTTACTAGAAAG